CACCTTATTAAAAATATTTATTCTGTGTCTTTTATGCATTTTCTTCACTTTTAAATTATCCTGTGGGGCCTGATTGAACGGCCCGCGGACCGTATGTTTGACACCACTGCTTTACATAATCATCTCGCGGGCCGGATTAAAGTCCTTTGCGGGCCGGATCCGGCCCGCGGGCCGTACGTTTGACACCCCTGCTTTAACCTATCAGATTTCAAATTCATCTCCTAGCTATCTGGTGATAGAATTTTTTTTTCTGTCCTCTGATTGGATAGAGCAAAGCTTGTTCCAGTCAATCCTTTCAATTAGCGAAACACGTCTGTCACCATGAGGACTGAATAATGGCTGTCCTTCAAAAGTGGGCATTATTTTCTTTATAGAGACAGAATGTTACTACTGAACTTGTATTAGGTTTTATTAGATTCTGAAGGTGTCCTGAAAGGAGTGACTTGTGAATATTCATTCATTCATCTTCCGAACCGCTTTATCCTCACTAGGGCCGCGGGAGGTGCTGGAGCCTATCCCAGCTGTCGTCGGGCAGTAGGCCGGGGACACCCTGAATCGGTTGCCAGCCAATTGCAGGGCACATAGAGACAAACAAGCATCCACGCCCACACTCACACCTAGGGACAATTTTGAGTGTTCAATTGGCCTGCCAAGCATGTTTTTGGAATGTGGGAGGAAACCGGAGTACCCGGAGAAAACCCACGCAGGCCCGGAGAGAACATGCAAACTCCACACAGGGAAGCCGGAGCTGGAATTGAACCCGGTACCTCTGCACTGCGAAGTCTACGTGCTAACCACTGGACTACCGGGCCGCCCTACTCGTGAATATATAATTTTTATTTGCTCTTATTTTGATGGAGTTCCTGCCTAAGTAAACTTGGGCTAAAGATGTAAACCAAAAAGGAAGATAATTTGTCACCTCTAATTTGCATTCGTGCTGACTCAGGATGAGTCTTAACATTGAACCCTCTTTCTCTGTGCCTTGTTGATCCGGTTTGAAATGGCCCACAAATATTTCCGGTGAGTGCCTTTCAGGGAGTTGTTGAGAGGCTGTGTTGTTTGAATGTGTAGTATTGGTAATTCCCTACATGATGACTTTGATATAATCCCATAATGCGTCTTACAAAGTAGTGGACAGCAATGGTCTCTGGAAAATCGAGTACATCCCAATTTATTGTACTAAAAAAGATTCTGGGTATATTGTTTGATTTTCTGTTCGAGATAAATTCTTGAATTGTGTCCTGAAAATATCTTTCATATACTGTAAGTAGACCAACAAGGATGGCCATTAAGTGTTTTTGGTCATTAAGTTTAATTGGTTTGTATACCGCATTGACTTTCAAAGTGTGGCACTAATACCACGAGTTGTACACAGAATCACGGCCCAAGTACAGTTCAGTTGTATTTCACTATTAGGAACTAAAACATTTGCATTTGCATCTTTGAGAACTTTTAAAGTACAAATGTATTTTTGTTTTCTTAACTGATGTGTGATATGACTAGTTAGCGCATTTGCTTCACAGATCAGAGGTTGTGTAAAATCTGACCTTCGGCCTTCCGGTGTGAAGATTGCATGTTATGCTCTTGACTGCATGGGTTTTCTGCCGGTAATCTGGTTGCCTCCCGCAGATAATTGAAGACTCTAAATTTTCCATCGGTGTGACTCCGAGTGTGAATGATTTGTCTACCTACAGCAGTGTTTTTCAAAACCTGCTGTAGATATTGTCAATGAGACATTGTCAGGTGTGCCGCGGGAAAATATCCAATTTGTATGCCTGTGCGGTTTATCGCCCAGAAAGTAATCGTGTAGTACCCTCCCAAAAACGCTAGGAAGCAGCAACAGCTAGCCAATTGCCTTGTGTTTAGATGAGCGACAAGCGAATTTGTGACGCATGAATGCAGGACGACGGTGAAACAATAAATATGAAAGATGATAAAATACTTTTTCTTTGTGTTCATTTGATTCCAATTCAAGCTGTTATAACGTAATTCTTAAATGTTAAAAACGTTTATAGTAACAATATAACACGTTAATTGTTAAAATAAGCGTTTTTTTCTTCACATTTTCAGCTAGTGGTGTGCCGCGAGATTTTTTCAATGAAAGAAGTGTGTCTTGACTCAAAAAAGTTTGAAAAACACTGGTCTACAGTATATGTTCTGTGCGATGGCCTGTCGATCTGTCTAGGTGTACCCCACCAAAGTCAGCTGGAATTGGATCAAGCACACCCGCGGAACCTAGTCAGGAAAAGCTGTCCAGAAAAAGTATGGACACGCGATTTTATGTGAACAATTATTCAAGCACTGCTTTTATGTCGTATACTTAAGTACAGTCTTAATGTACAGACTGTATCATTTTACATACAATGTTAAAACAATATGAAATGTACTTTTTAGGAATAAAACATAAATTTTTTTGGTAACACTTAGGCCTGCTACATTACTGTATTTTAATGGTAGTAATTGGAGCGCAAAGTATTTCTTAAGGTGTTACTTGGTGTAAAATGTGTGTCATACAATAGAATGTTTCTTCCTTTTAGGGTTGGGTTATAGGTTAGTAAATATTTGTGGTTATAATGTTTTGGGCTAAAAGTTCCTCAGTTTATATTTGTTTTAAGAATTGAAATTATTTCAAAACTGTGTTGGCACTATTCAAAGAGAACTATCACTGTATCATCAATTCTTTTACTACCTTTTTAGGTTAAGAAAACAAACGGTAACATGATGATGTGTGTATTTTCTGTCTAAACTAATGTTTTCCATTTGCTAATGTGTTTGGTTTGTGGCATGATGAATGTACAGTATATGAAGATGGTAATTTACATTGGTCCTCTATAGTTAAGTGCATTTTGCAGTGGAGTAGAGCTGGAGGTACTCTGAAGGCGACCTAATCGGCGTATAATAATGGAGCTTTTTGTTTAGTGTCTGCCTGGACAGAAGCAGAGGGACTACAGTATATGAATCAAGACTGTGTTGGCAGCCATTGTTGTTGTGGTCTGAGTGACACACATTCATCCTCAGCTGAAGGCTCCTGCTGTCCTCTTAGTGCTTTAATTCACTTCTGACGACACTGTTCACTTCATGACTACTCAAACACATTACATTTATGAACTGTGTGCCAATGCTGTGTACAGCAATTAATCATATGACAAATTCTTCTTCTTCTTCTTCTTCTTCTTCTTCTTCTTCTTCTTCTTCTTCTTCTTCTTATTATTATTATTATTTCCTCCGTGAACCAGAGTGAGCTTGTGTTCCCGTGATTTAAAGGTCAGGGAACATTGCCGCATGAAACAAAATAAGACACCGTCAACAATTGTCTCTGTAATTTGTAAACAATCCAGTAGGTGGCGGTAATTACAGACGAATGTTTCCATGCGCTCCTCTTTTTATCTGCTTGTCGCACATCAAGCATGTTTATCTTCTTGTGGTGGGGTATTTTTGCACGCTTCTTTTTAAATGATATGCGGCGATACTTATGGCCGTGTCACAGCTTGTGGCGGGACATTTTGCAGGAATTTTTGTTTTTATTTCTTTTCCAGTCCAGTTACTCTTGCGTGTCTTTTTTGACATGTCCTGAAATGTACACACACACAATGTGGCTGTTAAATCTGCATTCGTCAACCCCCCACCCCTACCCCCATGTGCATTGTATAAAACCATTCCTTCTGGAATGTCAGGATTACATTTAGAATTTACTTATACACTAGTTGATATTTTGAGTCTTTCCCAAGAGATTCTAGCATTTTTGTTTGTGTTCGTGGCGTGCGTGCGCTTCTGGACGTGCGTGGGCAGGGTTGGTTTATACGAGAGACAGAGAGTGACAAAATATTTTTAAAATTGCCTCACAACATTTTTTATTGTACTATGGATATCATATATGTTTGCAGCATCTCAGTCATTGCTATAATAGTGAAGCTGGTCACCATCCACCTCATGAGGGCGTCCACATTACCACTGCTGTCACCATCTCCTTCAAATGGAGTGGGGTGTGCTTTTCTATTTCGAAGGAGCCCCATGGTGGTTTCTGAACTGAGATCTTGTGGGCTACACTGCGGTCTTGTGCGACATGACATATTTCATTTTAGAAGAGCAAACAATGCATTACTTTCCACTGTGGGGGCTGGAGTTGGATTGGTGATAGATATTGGCGATATGAGCTACATCAATACTGAGACATCATGGAACATGACAAAGTGTAATCAGCCAATGAGTTAAAACAACGAATGGGAACATTGTGCATCTAATGGTGAAAATTGGGGATTCACATTCTTTTGTCTTGGCAAGAGAAGTCTTGTTTGGTCTAATTCGTATGAAGCGTTCCCAAAAGTGTGACAGTAAAGAGAAAACGAGACTACAAAATTCAAATGAACTGAAATAATTTTGGAGAAGACACCCAGTGTTCATATTCATTCATATTTTTTGAATATGAATATTTCATATTCATATTCAGTGTTTCTCTTCTGGGTCGGTAGGCCACTTGCTTACAAGGGAAACAAGGATGTGCTGAAACAATTGAACAATGAACTACTGTACATTTGGATTGTTGCTACAACATTTTGTATATTACAGTTGGTGTAAACTTAAACTGTCTTGGGTGTCGAACTGTCAACTCAACGCAACTCAACTGTATTTATAGAGCACTTTCAAACAGCCATCGCTGCATACAAAGTGCTGTACATGGAGCAATTCAACATATACAACAAACAGTAAAGCAAATCGGTAATAAAGACGGTAGAAAGCACCGAACAGCAAAACCAAGAACAAATCTAAGTCATGCTGAGTCAAATGCCACAGAATACAAGTGAGTTTTGAGGCGGGTTTTGAAGATGGGCAGCGAGGAGGCTTGCCGAATGTTCAGTGGGAGGTCATTCCAGAGAGAGGGACCAGCAACAGAAAAGGCTCGATCCCCTCTGAGCCTCCGTTTAGTTCTTGGTACTTCTAATAATGTCTGGTCTGCAGACCGTACCACATAATTGAAGCAAACAACTAGAGCGAGACACAAAAGACTATCAGTGTGCAGTACAGGTTCTGTCTCAGGCTTTCCACATGCGTTTCCTGACTACACTGTGTGTTGTTTCCCCTCCTCCTGCCATTGTGAAGTTCCTTCCAGAAAACTACAGTATTCAGTTTAACCTTACTTCCAAGCTCGGCCCGCACGGCTTATTGAGGATGGCATTGAGGAAGAGGAAGATGGGAAGCAAATTGTGAAACTGTTTTTCCCTGAACTTTCTGAAATCGAGGACATCCCCTTTGCAGGAAGACAGAACTCTGTCAAGGTGTTAGTGGATTACAGACCTGTCTTTAGATTGTGTAAACGGAGCATCTTGCTTAAGGATGTAGCTCTTTGTTCACAGGGCAAGGAGTGGGAAGTTTACCAGAATGGAGTGCACGTTAGAACGAGTTTTTTGCTGGTCTTCCAGCCAAAGTGGACTGCTTAGCCGCCAATTACTGGAGGTTTCATCTGTGATGTTTCACTTGCGGTAGGTGAGCTGAACAAGCAGGACAGCGGGCGAGCTGTCGTAGGGTGGCAGCAGTTCAGTTTTTGTTCTCTTCAAAGTAAAAGAAATTTGGATTGACAATGAAACGGCGACGCAAGTACTGGTTTTGGAGACGGAAAGCTGAAAACGCAAAGATGTGTCTGCTCTGCTGTTATGGTAAGATTTAGAGGCTTTATTTGATGAATGAAAATTGGAATGAATGTTTTTTGAAGAGTTTTGCCTGTTTCCTACAGTATAGTCTTGTACGTTTTCTTTATGTCTCATAGATTGTATTACTACAATTTGAGTGGAATGATTGATCAGTTGCAGGGATGTGGTCTCACCAAAACAAGTGGAAAAGATCATCTCTCTAATTTGTTTGTGTGTTTGGAAGTTGTCTTTGTTAAGCAGTGCTGCTGAGTGCAGCAGTGAGTGTTTTACTAATGTGAATGTTTGGCAAAGGCACTGATCAGACTAGCTGATTCGCTGAGCCATGGCATTTGTCTCCATGTGGACGAGCTTGCCGCCGCAAAGCAATGAAGCACGGTCTGAGGGGGCACGCTGGATAAAAAAGCAGTTTGTCTACAGAGGCCTGGGAACCATTCCCCCACTACACAGTGTTTTCCAGCCACTGCGGTCTTTTGGCCACTGTCCCCGAAGACCCGTTACCCAACCACGTTTGTGTTGTGTGTGTGTGTTTGTGTGCAGCGTTAAATGGCACGTATTTTTGCATGGTTGTGTGTTGCAGTGGCCACCTTTCTTAGGGAGGTGTGTATTGTTGGAGTGCTCGGTCAAGTTCCCCCCCCCCCCCCCCCCCCCCCCCCCCACCCCCCCCCCCCACATCTCTTCCTGTTTAAAGAGCAAAAGAGAAAACACTGAAGCATTCTGCTTTCGTTCTCGCTGGCAGGAAGGAAAAGGCTGGGAACACTCGCCGGCCAGCTCGAGGCCTTTCACCACGCCTATTGTTTTAACGTGGGAGTGGATGTCACATGTAGTGAAGTGACACCCACTTGTCAGAATCAGTGTTTGTCTGCTCTTTTAATACTGTTGTCATTAAGAATTCACCTTTGAGGTGTTCAAAAGGTTAGACTAAATAACTCATATGTTTCAGTGGTGTGGTTGACAAATCGCTTCCAGAGGCGGCAAAAAAAAAAAAAAAATTAACAAGGTAACACGTTGAAGCATTTGCATGTGAATATGTAAATGGTTACGCTCTGGGATTTTTAAGTATTGTAAAATCTATATACATATATTTTTCCCCCTCAGCTTTAATCCATGTTTTTCACACCATCTGTTGATTAATATGTGCAAATAAAATGTATGTCAGATGTGGTGTGATTGGTCCAGTTTTCTGGTCAGTCAGTGTTCCCTTTTGACCCCAATGCAAATGAATTTCAATAACAAAACATGAAGTTAAATGAAGGCGCCAGCATCTTTTTTTCTGATTCTCACCAAATATGGACACCCCCCTCAAGATTTTTGAAAAATTGCATAGTTTTTGCATATTCATGAAACAAACAAACAAGAAACCAAACAATACCTTTCGACTTCATGCTAGGTCAAGGTAAAAATCTGGTTTTATGTGTGGATAAGCAACCGTTGATGAGAGATTGAACATGACAAATGTGAAACTACCAAATTGATAAACCTACCTTGATGGGTGGATGAATGGTTAGGTAGGTAGCTAGAAAGGTAGATGATAGACAGTCAGACAGACAGACAGAGACATTGTATTTTTCCACAAGGTGAATTCGTAAATCACCAGTATTTCTCAACAGCACAGAATGTGAGTCATACATGTAATCAGCATGACATTAGCCAGTGGGGGGTGTTTGGGAAATGTGCGCAAGATTTCAATGGCATGAGCATAATGGATGACTGTGATGACATACCGTATAAGTCATGGCCTCCGGCTGTCTCTTTTAAATTGTGCGTTTTTTATTCCACCCAAGGACATGTGCCTTTGACTTTTCAAAATGAATTTGAGTCAGCTGTCTGGCTTTCACAGCGGCCCATCAAGAATTAAGATATTCTCAAATCCAGCAAGTAAATTGATTCCACTAATTTTACGTTGTGTATGATAATGTTCAGAGAATTAGCATCCAGCCATCGTAGCTTCTGGACCACCCAGGAAAAGTTTACTTAAAAGTGTCATCTTTTCAGTTGCATCTGTGAAGGAATCTAATTGGAAATGTTTTCACGCTTGTCACTAGATTACAAAACACAAGAAAACATTGCAGATTCTAAAATTATTTGAGAATACCACGTTGCCACCTCCAAAGCTAAAAGATCATTGCGAACATGGTTATTTGATAAATTCAGTTTATGGTCCATAAGACCATCACTAATGTCTGACCTAAAGTTTGCGGTGAAATCATCATTTTCCATTGTTATTTTGGTAAGATGCATGCTAAAATCGAAAAAAGACATCCTCTGCAGATAAATTGTATGAGTGAAGTAATCAGATATAAGCTACGTAACCTCTAACACTGGGGTCGGGAACCTATGGCTCGCGAGCCAGATATGGCTCTTTTGATGATTGCAACTGGCTCGCAGATAAAAGAAAATATTGTTGCTTGTTTAATCCATCCATTGACTTTTCACTGCTCATGCCCTGTACAGGGCTGCAGTTGGCTGCAGGGGCAATTTTAATTGGATGATACTGGCCTACGTCGGCCGTTGCAGTGGAAACAGGTAAACGCCCCCTTTTGAATCAGCCCGCTCAGCCATTAGCTCAAAGCTAATCCTTCGACGAACAAGTTGGCGAAAAGAAAAAATGATGACGAGCATGGTCGACTTCAGGACGAATGGACCGAAGGATTCGCCTTTGTGGAGGGAACGGGTTCTGCGGTGTGTCTAATTTACAATGACAAAATACCATTGATGAAACGGTCGAATGTAAAGCGGCACTTTGACACATGCCATGCTACGTTCGCATCAAAATACCCTGCGAGAGACAGCAGAAAGGAAGCGTGCAAGCTACTGAGCAGGGTGCAAGCTAGCCAGCAGCAACTCCGCGTATGGACCCAGCAAGCTGACTATAATTCTGCTAGCTTTGCTAGCAATCATAAGGAACGGAAAACCATTCACATTAATGGTGAGTATTACAACAAAGTTATTTAAAAGAATACATTCGGAGGCTTATTATACAACATTTTGTTGAATTCACTTTTAAAATACAGCTGAAAATGATCTTCAACTGGTTTAAAGTGCTGTAGCCTGTCTGATTACCTGAGTATCACCATATCACCCTCATTTCGCAGCATCTTCACTGGTTCTTAGTTTTAAATACCTACTCTGCTCACCAATTGCGAAACTCCATGATGCTTGTCTTCCGAAACATTCCCTCCATTTTCTATACCACCTGTTCGAAGTTGCGGGGAGCTGAAGCCTACCCCAGCCGAAATTGGTCAAAAGGCAGACTATAACCTGGCTTGGTTGCAGTCACTTCTATACAGACAGTCCATTCGCTTGTATATTTACACCGTCACCCTGTGCACAGATGTGAGGTGAATGTACCACTACACCATAAGTGAGGTCACCTGTAACCTTTTTCCTCTTTTTGAAACAAACTGAGAACTCATCTGTTGAAGACCACTTCCTCCCAACCATGAAGCTGCAATTCCACTTCTCTGTGGACATCCATCTATTGTTAACATGTTTGTCGGTACTGTACTACAGTACTGTATGGATGTACGTACATCAATTGGTCAAACTTTACCGATACAGCCATTTTTATCAATAAAATTCCTCTCAAAGTGTTTTGCATGAATTAAAATCTAGGTTTTACATGTACATCAATTGGTCAAACTTTACCGACACAGCCATTTTTATCAATAAAATTCCTCTCATAAAGTGTTTTGCATGAATTAAAATCTAGGTTTTACACGATCAGAATTATGGGGCCTATCACCGATCCGCAAATAAAAAAAAGATAATCTCCGATCAGACAATGGATTATTAACTTAATTGGTTCCCGTAATAATATGGAGAAATTCTCGGTGAGGTGGTTTCATTTTTGTCCGCATATGTGCGCAATCTTGTGATATTTGTCAACCCGTACCGACTAAGTGAATAGCAAAATAGTTGTGGATTTATTTGATCATCGATTAGTTCTTCCATTAATAGTTGCACTTATAAATACATTATGGTCTGAGTATTTTTAGGTGTCATTCATTGTGCAGGTAAAATGAAATATACAGTGATGTCTCTACTCTGGAGCATTTTAGAACACTGGAAGCTCACTGCAGAACAAACAAAACATTGCACCCTGCAGGTGAATAATGGCATGGCTTCATTAAGCTTGACTTGAAGCCTGCTTGTCAAATCAGTTAAGTTAGATCAAATGTGATTCCTCATCCATTGCATTAATTATTAATATGAAGAATTTTGTATTAGCTCCAAATTAGATTACACAGGTGAGTTTATTGTTATTAAGTGCTCGCTTAAATTCTGATTTAGTCAATGTTTCCTGCTGAGAAAGATGATCAAGGCTAAGAGAGCTCATGAATGAAAGCAACCAGGCACCTTCTGCGCTCGGATGCTCCTCAAGAAGTAAATGGTTGAATGCATTTGCTTATCGCCACTTGGGTTTCTGATCGACAGCAGTGAGGGTGAAGGCGTGTGTCCCAGGCTGATTACGGGAACCAATCCAGTCCAGGTTGTGTCTGTGATGCGGGGGCAGATGCTTACCAGACTCACTACTTGCCCGCTCTCAGCTGTTCCCTGCTGCACATGCACAATGTGCGCGTGCGTGTGCATGCATATGCGTGTTGCGGGTGGTGCCAGCTTTCAAACACCACCAACCATTCATCATTGACCCTAATAAACAGCAGGAGCAAAAATAAAAAATAAAATAAAATAAAAAAAAAAAAAATTAAAAAAAAGAGTTTACATGGAGTGTCTGCATCATATCACATGATTGTGTATCTGAGATGCATGCGATCAGATTAACCAGTGTGGATTTAATTAATGATGTGTGTTGAAGGCCCCTCTTGGCTTTTAGAGATGTGGTGGGCAATAGCCTGCAGACATGCTGCTGCAGTCCTCTCATTACCTCAGGCATAAAACAAAAGATGGATCAGAGTGATGAGAGTGCGGTGTGGGCCAAATAGGCTGTGAGAAACTCACTTTTCACTGCTGTCATGCTTCTGATGGGCTGAAAATCTGAAGCAGGT